TCTTACATATTTTCTTCATGTTATTGATTACAATTGCCGCCTTGTCATATCACTGGTCTCACTTCCTCCTTATTTCATCTGTTTTGATTCCTCCTTCTCTGTCATTGAGTAAATGCTACCTTTTTGATCTCAAATGGTTGAATATTCTAAACTGTTCATACTTCACTAATGTTATTGTTCATCATAATAACATGCCTATTATTTTTCTAATATTTGAGCTATGGAGGTGAGACTATTTCCAAACCTGAAGTGTGACTAAAGGTTATATAGTCTCAGTGTGTGTTACTTTGGGTTGACAAGAGAAACAAATTCATAGATTCACTGAAGAAATAGAGAAGCTGAAGAAAAACGCAGCATTTAAATTAGAGGAAGTGTTATTTATTTCCTTTGCACCTCCAAATGAGATCATCAAGCTGCAACCTGATTGACAGGATAAACTCCACCCCCTCACTCTTAAATAGTCTCAAATTGAGAACAGGTTCTCAATTTGCCACACTGCCACCCAATTTGTAATTGCCACACTAAATCATAAATTCCTCTTCAGACTCAACAGCACATGCAATGATGCTGAATGCAGGCAGATCACAGGCCGGTGGGTAGAAAGTTTTGTAGATCCAGTGGTGGTAGAATTATCTCAGTGCTGGTATAGGTCTCCACATGGCTCTTCCAGCTCCAGGGCTCAGCCACCATCAGTGTTTCTCCATGTGGTTTGTCAACAGGAATATGTAACAGAGAGAGTGTGTGTCCCACCTCCAGGGAAAGACAGGAGCTCCCAGAATTCTCAGAAGAGGGCCATCCCCACACAGAGGCATGATTGGCAATGACTAATGATTGACAGGCTGGACGCCACCATTTCACTCAAGCTGACAGGAGATGATGTCACTGCCACAGAGGGGTTTCACCAGTCTCTATCACACAAGGAAGTCAGGTTTTTTTTCTTCTTTTTTTCCTCCTTTTGTTTCAGATTTTCTCACAATCTATCATGTACCTTCTGATATGATCCCTTTCAGAGCAGTTTGTAATGGTAGCCAGACACCATGTGGTTCTTCTGGTCTCTTGATTATAGAGACTAATGTTCTCATGGTCCAATTATTCTACTGAACTAATTGTTTCTAGTGTCTTTAATTTTCACCCCTCTTAGATAGCTATAGTTGCACCTATAATTTCCAAGTATAGGCTTTTAAGACCCAGTTATTGTTCAACAAAGTTGGAGGCAGAACACTCTTTGTAGACTACATTAGCTAATAGACCTGGGTGTCCCTGAGATGATGGTCCTGAGTCCCAAAGCCAAGTATTCATTCCTTCAAAGGGTATAGTTCTGTCTAAAACATTTTCTTAACTTTACCCCCTGAATGCTCTAAGACATTAACAGTTATATTTGCTGCA